AAACCTTGAAGTGTTTAGCCTCTGTTTGCGCCTGAGTTGGGTCCAGATGTGTTGAATGCCAGAATTAGGAGGAACAAGAGTGCCTACATCCCACAAGCTGGGTTCACACAACACTCTAAACCCAGGTTCAGAACGCCCAGTTGGTGTGCTTGCATGTGCATGTGAAGGACCTGAGTCAGATGGTGCAGCTTAGCCCAGTGTTCCTCAACCTTGGCAACCTTAAGATGGATGGACTTCAATCCCAGAATCTCCCAGGCGGGTATGGCTGGCGGGGGAATTCTGGGAGTTGAAGTCCACACAGCTTAAAGTGGGCAAGGTTGAGGAACACTGGGCTAAGCTGCACCATCTGACTCAGGTCCTTCACATGCACATGCAAGCACACCAACTGGGCGTTCTGAACCTGGGTTTAGAGTGTTGTGTGAACCCAGCTTGTGGGATGTAGGCACTCTTGTTCCTCCTAATTCTGGCATTCAACACATCTGGACCCAACTCAGGCGCAAACAGAGGCTAAACACTTCAAGGTTTCCAAAACAACAGCCACAAAAATTAGGGGAAGACCATAATAAGCCAGGGAAAGGAAACCTCCACTCCATCTCTGAAATATTGTGGTTGATCTATTTACTCTCTCTGTGCTTTGCGGTTTGTACACTCTAATTTTTAATCGTGTTTTAATGTTTTAATACTGATTGCTTATAGTTTCATCATGACTGCTTTTATAATGATTGTTTTTATATATTGTTGTTTTATTTGATTGTGGTATGTTGCCCAGAGTCACTTCTTGTGAGATGGGCAGCTATATAAATTTGATAAATCAATCAATCAATCAATCAATCAATCAATCAATCACAAACTATAACTATTCCAATTGTGAAGGGACCCTGGACAGAGGGGTGAGTGAATTAACCCATTTTCTGGGACTGGACATCAACCAACCCCATGGCTTGGATTCACACCACTTAGTGTGCTGCTTGAGGATGCCCACCAGGTAGAATGCCAAGCTTCCATTTGTTAAATGCACTGATGCTCAAAGATAGACTGCCACGGTACATGGAGGCTCACTTGGCCTTTATTTCTTTCTCGGCCATCTAAATGCTTCTTGCTAGATTCTGCAGGGCTACAAATCCCTCTAGTTAGTTAATTAGTTAACAACGTTTGTAAACTGCCCCATCGAACTGACTCTGGGTGGTATAAAGGGGCTTTTGTGCATCATTCAAGCGCAACGAGGTCCCTTTACAAGCCCCTCCCTTTCTTTTCTCCTCTCTCCCTCCCAACCCTCCAGGCCTGTCCACACTCACTTTTCGGAGACGTGCATATAAGGTTCTTGGCAGAGTTTCTTCTCCACGCACCGATACCCGCCGTGAAAGTTCACACAGTTCTGGGACTCGGTACACTGATGGCCTCCTGTCTCACATTCGTTAATATCTATGGATGCCAGAGAGAAAGGAAGGATGAAGGAGAAACATGGAGAGGG